GTTTTATGAAATTGAAAATTTTGTTGGTCTGAAGAGAGGACCTGGCCAGATTTACTTCCTTATCAAGTATACCTGAAAATCGTAGAATCTCAGATTGGGTGGAGCAACTTCAGGAAAGAAATTTTCTAAAACTATAAAGCTTAATTGCTTGGAAAGTTTGACACAGTGCTTAGGATCCGGATTTGCAACATTTTGACTGCCAGAATTGGGATCCAGATCTGCAAAAATATGGAGATCCAAAGATCAGGATCCAAGGGGCAAAATATCATCAAAATACTGCAAGAGAAAAATGCTTTTAAGAAATCTTTAAGTCTTAACATAATCTGAAACATTTTGGCTTTCTGGATCAGGATCCAGATTCACTAAAATATGCAGATCCACAGATAGGGATACAAGGGATATAAGGATATCAACAAAAACTGTAAAAGAAACTTTGTGCTCTTTAAACATAAATCTAAATTGCTAAAAAAAGAGACATTATAAAAAATGTCCTTATCTCCTGAGTAGTTCACCAAGATTAAGCGTGAAAATAAGTGTTAAATAATCTGAATTCTTTTTTTAAAAACTCAATCAAACAAGATTATTTTTATTAAAGTAGGAAGTTAGGGAATATATTGACCAAAATTTAAAATTGGGTTTTCTGAAATATAAAGTTTTCTTATAAAGGAAGAGGAGATTCTTTTAGAAGTACAGCATAGATCTCCTGTGTCTTTAGACAATGGATATAGGCCTGTTCAAGTGTCTTCAATTAGCAACTTTGAGGAAGTTCCAAATGATCCAGCCTCAGTAGATGCTACAAATCAAACAGACAATTATTCCACAATGAACTGGTTGGACTCTGATATAGAAGAGACAGCAATTACTGGAGAGACTAGATCAAGCCTAGATTATGTTCATACTTCTCAATTTCAAGTTGAACAGGGTTTCTTGGATTACCAAGACATTTTAGAAGTTGATACAAATTCAGAAAATTCTCTTGCTGATCTAAGCTGCAACCGAAAGAAAGGTCAAGGTTCTAAATAATTCATAATTCATGTTAAACTTGACTTTTCAACAACATAATTAAACATTATTAAATTGGGATTAGTTTCTTTGTTACAAGGTGAGGGACCATTTCAAAATTAACACAATGTCTTGATTTTTTCATTTAAGATCACAGTTAAGCTCATTTTACTTCCAATAGTTGGGCTTTGCACAAAAGTCTGTTTAGTATTTACTCAGAAACTATTGGAGAAAGAGAATGCATATTCTAAGACCCAGTTAAAAAATTTGTATTCACTTGATTTCTCTTAATATTGAATTTGTTTTTTCATTAACATCATAATTTGAATTATTTACACAGAGGGAAATCCTGAAGAGAACCTGCCTAACAGCTATCAGAGAAGAAAATGCTCAAATCTACTTTCAGAAGAAAATCATCAAGTAGAAGAAAAGGATCAATTGGAACATAATACTTCGTCTAGTTTGGTTATGGAAACCTCTAAAAATCAAAGAACTATACTTGATGAGACCAAAAACATGATATATCTCTTACTTAAATTGCTTTTGCTCTACACAGTCTTTGTGTTGATAATTTTTCACTTTCTTGTCCCTCTGTAAAATTTAAACATAGAATCAAATGTTCTTTCATAGAATACAATTTATATGGGTGTACATTTTCATAGAGAGATTTTTTAGTGAATATTAGATCACCTGAGATGAACTAATTATCATTTACTCCACTGTCCACACTTGACACTTTTGTCAACCTTTTAAATTTTTTTCTGTAAAATGTTGTAACATGAAGTCTCTATGATTAAGATATCTTAATGATTTAAATTAGAAATATGTTGACTATAACGTTTTTTTTTGAACCAATCAATTCACAACAATTCAAATTATTTGTTTTAAATTAGATATTTATTTTGAATTTTGTATATTTTTCATACATATAAGGTGAGTCAAAAAAGTGTGATTAGCGGCGCCTGTTACAAAATTGTTCCTTTTTTGTGAAACTCTCCTGTACGGTGTTTTTCAATATATTTTGGAAATTTTTTGAAAAGTTATTTTTCAATGGATCTTCAGGTTTCAACTTAACATCATATATTTCTAACTTTAGAATATATCTGAAGGAATAGGGTTTCTTCTTTTTAATTTGAATGATTTAGAACTATTCATAAGAAATATTTATTCTTCTTTAATTTCTTCTTTATTTTCTTAATCATGAAGTTCAACTAAAAAAAAAACAATATTTACAAAATTATAATATATACATACATTTGTTAAGGATAATCTATATTCAAAATATATTTTGAAATAAACTATTATCTTCTTATTATTTTTTAGAAATTTACTTACATCAGTTGGACAAATTCTATCTTTTTATTCTTTCCTATCCATTCTCTTCAGTCCTAAATTCACATTCATTTTGGATAAACAAATAAACAAATTTGATAAATCAATTTTCTTTGAATGTTTACTTTTGATTAACTTTTCTTTAAATCCAAATAAAATGCCTGATGTTTCCATTCTAACTTTTTAACTCCTACTGGCCTAACTATCTGTGCATTTCTACCTGTGCACTGTGCAGTGAGCATAAACTTTCAAATCTTACAAACTATAAATATACATAAAACATGAGGAAATAAATCACAATATTATTTTAATACAATATACTAAGAAGAAAGGAACTAGAAGATTTAAAGAACTTTTCCTTAAAAATAAGACAAGAACTGAAAAATGCAAATTTTCTTTTTACAATTTTGCAAATTTTCTGTGATTCTGTGATTCAATCTTTATGAAATTTTAGAATCTGTTAAAAATAATAAATATATTTTTGCTTTTCTAAACTCTTGATTTTGAGTGTAAAAAGAGTTTGCATATTTTTTTGTACCTTAGGAACATAAAAAAAAATTAAAAATTTTCAAAAAAATATTGAAACAACATTTTTTTTGACTCACCCTACATTACACAAATTTGTTGACAAATTTTAATTTCAATTGAGTTTTAGTTCTTCTATGGATATACTGGTGAAACAAATTCTACATTTATATTTCCATTGTTTAAGTTTGTAATCCCAGTTGTTTCTCTTAAATAAATTGTCCATCTATTACAACTGTTTTGAATATAAATTCGATACTATACTATGAGAGAAAGCCAAAACATAATGAAAGTGTTTGTTTCATATTTGTTTTATTATTATGTAGTTTACAATCAACTTACCTGCAATTCTGTTTATATTTGACTTTCATTAGATAAGATTACTATATGTTTGTTGTACTTTGGTGAGAATGCTGCACTGTTGTGTATTTTTTTAATGGTTTTTCATGAAAATATTCACCCCTGTAATACTGTAGAATGATCCATCAAGCATCTACATTCTACATGAATAGGATTCAATGATAAATTGATTGATTAATAAATCTCGTATTCATTATATTTATGCTAAGCTTTAGAAATGTTATTGTAGACAACTTGCAATCAAATAGTTAGTAAATTGAACCAGAGACTGAAAAAAAGAAAAGATAAAACATGAACCAAAAATTTCCTAGAGAACTCATCAAAGTAATAATGTCATAAATGGTAAATCTATAGAGTAGGCAAAAATAATACGCAATTCCAGTGCTTAGGGTCCATTCAATTTTGATGCGTTTGCAGATCTGCACTGGAAAAAAATGGATCTGGATTCCGATCCAGGCCATTTCTTTAAAATTTACTGAATATTTTTAACAAAAAATAATTTTCAAATTATTTTTTTATTTATTTCCTTTATTTTTATCCTAAAATTTGATGAACCATTCTGAAATGTAGAAATATTTATTATCTCTCTGTTTTCAAACATTCAGATTTGGTTTTTAGGAGTAAAAAAGTATTTTTTGCAGTTTTTGATTGATATTTTACTCCTTGGATCCAGATCCATGGATCTGCATCCGGAAGAACCGGATCCAGGAAGCCTAAATCTTGCTAATCCAAGTGTTCCGGATCCTAAGCACTGAACAATGGAATGTGAAATTTAAAATCTAATGTCAATAAAAATGATAACATGACTACTAAACTCGGGATATAATCAACCACATTGTCTACTTTTAAGCATTTTATACATTTTACAATAAAAAATAAGTCAGAAAAGGATTATCGACAAAATTTCAAGTGACCCCCACTTGGATGCCTGATTTTCAACAGTACCATATCAACCTTTAAATGGAGTGATGTTAAATTTAATCAGGGGGGTTTTTAGATTCAATATTTTATGTGGGACCCTATTAAACATTAAAATTGTGGGGATGTCATTGTTTTCATATCCAAAGATTTTCAATTTAAATGACTTGCAAAATTATGGAACAAATGGGGGACAGTGCTTCCTACACCTGGTGGTTTTTTTTTGGTTTTTTTGCAGTTTCCATTTCATTTTGTTCATTATAAAACTATAGTAGCAGAGACAAGGAAGGAAGTGAACAAAATTTTGCCTACATTTAAGTTCAATTTACATAAAATTTTGAAAATTCAGGAATTTCTTTAGAAAATCTTCAGATTTTTTTGGGGGGTTTTGTTTAACAATGTATTCAAAGAGAAAGTATTCACAATTGAAATAGAAGCACCTATTCCTATCTTTTGATTTAAAGGATCAAAGGGCACCAATGTCATTGGGACATGATTCTCTTAACATTGAGGGTCACATGAAATTACATGAAATTCTGGAAATATTTACAAAAATATCTTGACCCCAGGTAGGAAACTTGGTTTTCCTAATGAGGTGAAAGGGTGGTTGATTTAGGAGATTTAGAGAATGTTGACTCCTAATCTATTTGGGAGTTGAAAATATTATTAATAGGAAGACACCAGGTTGGCATCCAAGAAGATATATTTGGAACTGGATTTGCCTAGTTGAACTACCTCTCTGTTTTTTCATTTTACAATTTCAGAAAATAAAAAAATACACATTTATTTTGTGCTGCAAAGAGCATAACACAGACGCTGTAGATAAAGTCCAATTAAAATATCAATATTAAGGTTTTGTTTAGAAATGTGAAAAATATCTGTGACGCCAGTGCCTACACCTCCAAAAGAAATTCCGGTGAAAGTCGGATCAAAAAACTTAAGAAAGAAATATCTGAAGACAAGGAGAAGAAGATCCTTATTGAGGAAAAGGGACAAGATGCTTCTACCATTAAAAATAAGGAAGCAGATAAGTCAGACAATGATTCTGGAAAGATGATGGAAGGAGAGGTCCCAAATGATGTGCTGGAGAAAGACAGTATCTTGAATGTAGATCCAGGGATGCAGGTAATCCACTTAAATTGTTGTTTAGTCCATGGGGATTTTCCAGTTTGCATTGTGATGCACTACACCCTAATATTTGATATCCTTTCATATCATTTTACTATTAGGAATTTTGTTTTGTCATAAGGTTTTGGCAGATTAAGGTTATTAATTTTGAATATCTCTAATGGACTCACCAAGGGTAAGAAGTCCTGAAAATAGATTCTAGGCCATTATTAGATCCTAAAAGCTACAATTAACGTGTGATTACACTTCAGATGATAATGCAAACATCTTATTCCCTCCATTAAGTAGTTCTGAGGTCTGAGCTGGGAACTTTAGAATGGTGTATATTGAGATCAATGTTTGATCCTCTCTTTTTCTTAATCTATAGACTAACCGTATCTTGTACTTGTATCCTGAAAAGTGTAAAAAATCAGAGTAGCATATCAGAAGCTGGGAAATTTTAAATTTTAAAATATTAATATACAGAAACGAGAGGGACTCTCTCTAATTTTGAAAAACCAGTTTTTGATTTTTCTGTACTATATCCAAAAAAGAGTGGATTAATCAAGAAATTATAAGTGTCCACATTTGATATTGGCACTAAGCAGTCGGGATTAAAGGTATGCCATTCTAAAGTTCCCAGCTCTGATTAAATATAATGATTTTTACACATTAATTGATGATGAAAAAAACTGATAATATTTGTAAAATGTTCAGAAAGTGTAATGTTAAGTGACCCTCCATGCAAAGATGGAAATTCTTGATTTGTAAGAGTACCCCCCTGAAACCTTAATCTGGCCAAAAATGTGGAAGCGTTTTGTTCTATTACAAAGTGTTAATTTCTGTAAAAAGAAAACAAAAAAACATGTATCTCCAATTTATACTTATTCAGAAAAGTTAGGGGCTATTGAAAATCGGGCATTCCCATCTTTGCATGAAAGGCAACATAAAATTACGCTTCATAAGTCCAAAAATGTTTCACCCTGTTAAAAACCCTCCATTTGCAGTTGTAACGGGGGGGGGGGTGGATCTCAGACTCAAGTACACCCCCTGCAGTTATTCTAGGAGTAATACAAATTATGTTTGTTTCCATCAAAAAAACAAATGTTTTTCTATCCTTAGGAGGTTAAGGATGATGTGGTTAAACCCTATGTTGTTGTGGCTGTACCACATCTCCCACCACAGGTTAATTATTTATTTAAAACTAAGAGCCTCATTTGTTACCCCACCCTTTAGCACCCCAATTAGTAAACGAGATAGTAGCCTCGGGTTAGGGGGCCTGTTAGGATCGTAAACTGGTTAATACGACCTGGGATAGGCCACATGCTGTAAATCTTATTATTTAGCACAGGCTGTTACCCCAGCCCGCCTAGTCCTTTTACAGGCTTAGTATGTAAATTGAACGTTAAAAGTCTCATGTCCAATTCTTTCCAACTGCTGAGACCCAGGTCCACAGGTTCCACAGGTCCATACTTGTAACGGTTGTGTGACAGTACTTCCCACACCTGGTGGCGGTCTGGGGTAAATATTGGGATCTCTTGAAGATTCCATGTTTGTTTGTTCCTACTCAACAATAAATTAATTTATTTGATACCAAAGATTGTTCTGTTTCCATTGATTAATTTCTTAAAAATAATAGGTAAAATTTTACAATTTTACAATTTTAATACTAACTGTGTAATGTCTATATCGGTTTATTTGACATAAAAATATTCAAATAAATGAAGAAAGGCTCAGTTTTACTTTTTAAAAATTAATTTGCTTTTATGATTTTTATAATTAGGGAAAACAGGAGCAACTAAAAGAGCAGCTAAAATCTGTAGTTAATCAAGACAAGCAGCAACTAGTGAATCTTACTGTTGAGCAGCAAAGCCTAAAAGAACAGCATTTTCCGGCAAATACGTCAGAAAAAGGTTTGTTGAACTCAAAGTGACTGCAGACTTAATTTTAAGTAACCCTCTTCTTACCGATTTACACTTTATATCATTATTCTATAAACCTTTGTGCTGTAATCCTTATTGTTCTCTCGAAAAGTTTAAGTTTACAATAGTACACAATGTTTAAGGTGGTTTTTTAAAAATTTGAATGAAAATGATTGTTTTCTATGATTCCCAGAAAATAGATAATATTTAATAACATTCGGCCAGTTTAGAAAGTGTGGGATATTATTTTTTTTGCACAACAAGTTGTTAATGGAGCAATTTAGAGGGAGATTTGACCTGGTCAAAAACTAGAGGAAAATAAATAATAACTATTTAATTCAGCCGTACATTGGCATTTGTATGCCACCTTGAATTTGAATTTAAAATGATTCTGAAATATAACCAATAAATCCGAAGCTTTGAAAGAAACTCCGCAAACCAGATATAATTCTGTGCACATGGAAACCATGAGCTGAACAGATATAGAAAATCTAATAGATTGGATTGAGATCTACACAACCTGGTCAAGAAGTCTTGGCAGCAAATTAAGAAGTTTCACAATTGTTACAAATTTAAAGATCTGGCTGCCCATTTTAGTCATATTTCAACCATAATTTTGAGTACCTTATTTTAATCGCGGTTTGCAAATTGTTATTTCTTTGACTCAAACCAATTTATTTATCTATATCAGCTACAGGGTGTCCCATGAAACACGACAAGTGGTAAATAGTTTTAAATGTCTTATTCCAATAACTAAATCAGATTTAAAGACTTGTTGCAGTTTTTTAAGTTAAAACATCTTTTACTCAAATATATTTTACTTTAAAAATCAATTTTACTATCACTTCGCTAATGAGAGGGCACTTGAAATTATGTCCAAGGTCTCTTAAAAATAATATTTTGTCTTAATTTTTTAATTTTTTTGTTATTTCCTAGAAATCCAAACGGAAGATCTGACTCAAGGGGGAGATCTTGGAACCACTGAAAATTCAGGTTAATATTTGAAACATTATTTCCATTTTTTTCTTATTAGCATTATCAATACTTTGCTGTTTCAAATTAAGTTTAATTAACTATTTGATGAAAAATGTCAAATTAAACTTTTGTATAAATTGGACACAGTTTTATATCAATTTCTCGAGACAATAACATCAGATATAACGTTCATGGGTCGCGATCAATTCCTAAAGTGATTAGGTTTCAGCCTAAACCCCCTTTAATTTTTCCTTTACATCCATCCTTTAACTCATAAATCCATTCATTAACTCATTAATCCATTCATTATTTCATTAAGCCATTCATTAACTCATTAATCCATTCATTAACTCATTAATCCATTCATTAACTCATTAATTTATCCATTAACTCATTAATCCATTCATTAACTCATTAATCCATTCATTAACTCATTAATCCATTCACTATTTCATTAATCCATTCATTAACTAATTAATCCATTCATGAACTCATTAATCCATGCATCAATTCATTAATCCATTCATTGACTCATTAGTCCAGTCATGCATAGCTTTATTTGATGATGAATTGTTTAGTTGGTGAAGAATTATTAGAACCAGCCTCTAAAGAAGATGACATTGTCTCATTTAGGTAGAAGAAGACGACTTTTACTTGTTTTCCACATCTTATTTAAGGGCATTTGTTTGGTTACTTTTAATTAAAATAGCGTTGTAAGGAAAAACTAGCCTTATACTTTAATGTCTTTATGATGTAAGATGATATAGGAAGTTATGAAAGGATAATCATGGAGAAAAGATTAAAACAGAAGTTTAAGAAAAGACGACATTTAGTTGATTCCATTATTTTACTGCTGAACTGTGTATTCATCTGGATATCTGTTCTGTTTAGTATAGGTGGGTGTAGCTAAAGGACAGTTTTTAAACATTGTTCAAGAATCTGAGATTCAAATCCCATTTCAAAGTTATAATCTAAAATTCGGTGATGGTGATGGACCAAACCTCTGTAGAGTAAAAAAGTAGATGTTAGTTCCACATTTATGAAAATATATTTCGGTCTGGGTTGACCCTCGTCAGTTCTCACGATATAATAACCATCAAAATCGATAAAAAAAAAATATAACAAATGTTTGTTAAGAATCACAAGAAAATAAACAAACAAAAAAGATTATTCAAAATAAAAATTTGGGCTGTCAAATGGAACTAAGGGAAACGAACTCAGATTATCAGATGGAAAAAAGATAATTTGTAAATATTCACTTTTAAAAAAAATGTTTTAAGACAATTATTATTCCTTGAGATTGTTTCTGTCACAAAGGTTAAAAACAAAGTTATAATCAAATTATGTGATTTAGTCAATGGGCTGAAATGCAGCAAACAGACAATGTCCTTCCAGTTAAAGAACAGGAGAAACAAGATCAATCTCAGGTATACCACTCGATCCTTTTTCACTTTGAATAGGAATCGATCAAGCCCGGATTGGAATCCAGTTCGCAGCTGCATTGTGTGGCGCTGTGGGTTCCCTTGCAAATATCCACTTGATTTGATATAAAATAAAAGATGTTCAAACAACTGTGTGTCACCCCTAAGCTGAAAACTTTAGAATGGGATATCCTTAATCCCGATCGTTTAATTAATCTGGAGATTAATAACAAGAGGAGAACAAGCATTATTTAATCTCGAGATTAAGAAAAAGACTGGATCAAGCATTAATCCAACATTCAAAAGTTCCCAGCTCTGGATCCCTTCCTTTCTTCCTCTTATTATAGAACAGGAGGAACATGACCAGAAACATAAACATCAATTATGGACTGAAAGCGTAATTTCAAGTGACCATTCATGCAAAAATGGCAATTCCCGATTTACAACGATACCCTTGAAATTTGTTCAAAGATACTGAAGTTTTTCTGACACAAAGTTTTAAAGTGTAATAGTTTCTATTTTGCTTTATATGCAAGTCACTCTCGCAGGACACCTCAAATTAAAATAACAGTCTAAAGAAACTAAATTCTAAAACATAGATATCTGATTCATACTTGATCAGACAACGCTTTTAAGGATACCGTTGTAAATCGGGCATTACCATCTCTTTGCATAGAGGGTCACTTGAAATTTATTATTGCCCCCCACTCCCCTTTATAAAAAAACTTGTATATCTGTTATCTTACTACTGCGGTATGCGATTACATCAATACTAGGAAGACGACTTTTTATTTGAACGTTGACTTATTATAAGCTTTTTCCTAATCATAAGTTTACAAGTAATCAAAGAGAAGCTTTTTTAATTAAAAGTTGCTCTTTACTTTTATGTTAACTTGTATCCATGCTGTTTAACAGCTAGATGTAAATCAAAATTGAAATCGAAAGTCGTCTTCCTTGCATTGATTTAATCGCTTACCACTGTACATGCTCACAACTAAATATATTTTAATAAAAGACGCATGTTATGATGCAGCACAAAATAATATACTAGAATTAATTGAGTACAACTTAGTTTATGAAACTATTGTGTACTTTATCGTTCTAACTCACTTATCGTGAATTTCATAATGAACGTGCAATAAAGTTAAATCAGTTGTACATTATAGCACGTGAGCTATAAAGTTTTGAGTGGTTCCCGGATTTCCTCCAAAAAAATTCGGATAATGCAAAAAAAATTCAATTGAAATGAAAATAAAATTGAAATAAACTTTATATTTTGACTTCTGCTTTGTTTCAAAGCTTATTTGATTTAACGTACACAAACGTTTCAAAATATTACCTAAAACTATTATTTTGACACGACGCGTACGTGCTATACAGTTTTTTAGATTTTGAAGGTTCTCGCCTTTTAGATTATATTTTGAACCTTCTAGATAAAGAGAAAATTTCTGTCCAAAAACTTTATAACACTGCAAACCAAAATAACAGTGTTATAAATAGTTACTATACATTTTAAAACATGTTTTATTTAGACTATAGCTAAGCCTGCTCCCCTCAAGGCAACTGGGATCAAACTAACTAAAAACTTCGCTAGTCCAGACTGTACTGCAAAGGTGATTTTTAAAAAACAGAATTTATCTTTTTTGTTAGATCTCAATTGAAAGGATAATACTTTTTTTAAAATTGACCTTACTTTATTTAATTGACCTTAACATGAAACAATTACTTTAATAATAAATGGTTGATATCAAAATATTGTAGAGATAAAACATCTTGAAAACGTACTACTCCATTGTACTGTACTCAATCAGAGATCGTAGCCGACTGCCGGAGCCTAGCCTGGCATTCCCCTATCTCCACATTCAGATCGATGAACCAAAGCTATCCCTAGCGTCTGATGCCGTGTCGGAAAGACCGTTTGGCTTGGTACTATAAATTGCATGTTTGGATATGATAAGGAAAACAGAGAACTACTATATCTATATATATACAGCTTATCAAAAACCATCCTTCTGGCTAGGATTACACTATTTCATCCTGCTTAACTTGATCTACTATATCTATATATATACAGTTAATCAAAAACCATCCTTCTGGCTAGGATTACCCAATTTCATCCAGCTTGAACTTGAACTGAATTGATGTCCACTAAAATATTGGCTGGTAATATTGAGAGTAAGAGAGGCATTGTAAATTATAATTGTGTCTAATTAACTTTGTTTTTCATGACTTGATTTGACCTGACTTAATTTAACTTGAAATGACTAAACTTGACTTAACTTGACCTCAATTAAATTGACTATGCCTCACTTAACTTTACTTGAACTCAATTAACTTGACGTGAACTCAATTAACTTGACTTGAACTCAATTAACTTGACTTGAACTCAATTAAATTGACGTGAACTCAATTAACTTGACTTGAACTTAATTAACTTTGTTTGAACTAAATTAACTTGACTTTATCTCACTTAACTTGACTTGAACTTAATTAACTTGACTTGAACTTAATTAACTTGACTTGAACTTAAATAACTTGACTTGAACTCAATAAACTTGACTTGAACTCACTTAGCTTTACTTGAATTCAATTAACTTGACGTGAACTCAATTAACTTGACTTTATCTCACTTAACTTGACATGAACTTAATTAACTTGACTTGAACTTAATTAACTTGACTTGAACTTAATTAACTTGACTTGAACTTAATTAACTTTACTTGAACTCAATTAACTTGACGTGAACTCAATTAACTTGACTTAAACTCAATTAACTTGACTTTACCTCACTTAACTTGACTTTACCTCACTTAACTTTACTTGAACTCAATTAACTTGACGTGAACTCAATTAACTTGACTTGCACTCAATTAACTTGACTTGAACTCAATTAAATTGACGTGAACTCAATTAACTTGACTTGAACTTAATTAACTTGACTTGAACTCAATAAACTTGACTTGAAATCACTTAACTTTACTTGAACTCAATTAACTTGACGTGAACTCAATTAACTTGTCTTAAACTCAATTAACTTGACTTGAACTTAATTAACTTGGCTTGAACTCAATTGACTTGACTTTATCTCACTTAACTTGACTTGAACTTAATTAAGTTGACTTGAACTCAATAAACTTGACTTGAACTCACTTAACTTTACTTGAACTCAATTAACTTGACGTGAACTCAATTAACTTGACCTAAACTCAATTAACTTTACTGTACCTCACTTAACTTGACTTTACCTCAATTAACTTGACTTGAACTCAATTAACTTGACTTTACCTCACTCAACTTGACTTTAACTTAATTAACTTGACTAGAACTCTATTAACTTGACTTGAACTCAATTAACTTGACTTAAACTCATTTAGGTTGACTTGAACTCTATTAACTTGACTTGAACTCAATTAACTTGACTTTATCTCACTTAACTTGACTTTACCTCAATTAACTTGACTTGAACTCAATTAACTTGACTTGAACTCAATTAACTTGACTTGAACTCAATTAACTTGACTTGAACTCAATTAACTTGACTTGAACTCAATTAACTTGACTTGAACTCTATTAACTTGACTTGAACTCAAGTAACTTGACTTGAACTCAATTAACTTACTTGAACTCAATTAACTTACTTGAACTCAATTAACTTACTTGAACTCAATTAACTTACGTGAACTCAATTAACTTACTTGAACTCAATTAACTTGACTTTACCTCAATTAACTTGACTTGAACTCAATTAACTTGACCTAAACTTAATTAACTTGACTTGAACTCAATTAACTTGACTTTACCTCACTTAACTTGACTTGAACTCAATTAACTTGACTTGAACTCAATTAACTTGACTTGAACTTAATTAACTTGACTTTACCTCACTTAACTTGACTTGAACTCAATTAACTTGACCTAAACTTAATTAACTTGACTTGAACTCAATTAACTTGCTCTTGCCTGACTAGAAATTACTTGAACTTGCAAAACTTTGCCTTTCTTGATTGACTCAACTTTATCTTACTTAAACTAATTTGACCTTACTTGACCTAACTTGACCTTTTATGACATCACTTGACCTGAAATAAACAAACTTGACCTTATTTAACTTGAGTTGACTTTACTTGACCTCATATATAATCTGTTTAGATTCTGGCTGGTAACCCTGAGAGCCAGGGGAGTGGAAATGTAATCTCAAACTCCAGAGATGAATATATTCTCAACAAGTGTACAGACAAGTAGGTTTTAAAACTTTGTTCTTAGTCAATTTGGACCCTTAAACCTTTCTTTAAGCCGTTAAGAATCTTGCATTATTTTAAACTAAACTTGATGTAATTGGTGGGAGATCAAATTTAAAGAAACTGCTTACCACCGGTTCAAATTCAACGACTGATTCAAATACTTCCTTAATCTTTAACTTTGAATTGGTGGTTCAAATTTGAGTCAGCAGCAGTAGGTAGTTTAGCAACGCAGCTCAAATTCTTTAAATTCAGTCTCGGACCTCTTACAACCATTTCTTGACTTACTTAAAAAGGAATTGTGCAAGGGCCGTTCTAGGGTAGGGGTGGCGGTGTTAGAAAAGTTCAGGATCCATTGTCAGAATTTCCGCCCTAATTAATGACAAATGGGATAGGAAAGGTTCGAGGCAAGGAGCAAATGTACTTGAAAAGTAAATATTCATTCAGAGATGTTTTCAAGATAGCTTATGTTTCCCAATATGAACTAAGGCTGGTTGCCGCATTGCGCAATAGGTATTTAAAAGTTGTGTAGTGTGTACTGGATGTAAAATGTAAATGAACTTTTTGGAAAAATAAATAAATTTTTTGTAACATTTAGAAATTTGTTAAAATGAACATTTCGCTTAATCACTTTTTAAAACTAAATGCTTCATAATTATGATTTGACGAGGAAAAAAATAATGACGATGATAGTTATATGATGGAAATGATATTAATTTGAGGGTTATTGGCTATGATATTAATAATAATAACAACCATGATAACAAGATAATGATGATACCGCTAGGGCCTGGTTTGTGGTTGAGCTGTGTGAAAGTATAAAAGCATTGAAAATACAAATTGCTAATTTTGAACTCTACTCTTCCTCACCCAAAGTATTCAGGTAACCAACTGTAAAAGACAAGGATTGTTAATTTTTCATATTTTTTGTTAGTTCCAGAGTTTTCTAGAAAAATTATTTTATTCCCACAAGTTATTTATGAATTGGGAATAATGAATTATTTTCAGGGGAAAATAATTGAATTTGGGGGTAAAAAGAATGAAAAAAGTAACCTTTTGATTTCCAATTTTTCCTTTATTTTCCAAATCATCAAAAATGATTTCTCAACTTCTGAATTTGGTTGGTTTACGTAGTAGATTTGAAATATTTAAATATGAATATTATTTCAATTATAAATTATTATGGACGATTTAAGAATTGACCGACTCTTGTAGATCAAGTCACTGAACTTGACCCATAAAATTGTAATAACAAACAAACAAAATGTTTATATATGTAATTCCCATAAATAAATAGTTAGAAAATAATTGGATGAATTGTTAAATGAATGGTTGATGAATGGTGAAGAAAAGAATATAAACGCAATGAAACGATTAACTTTGTAACTTATTCCGCTAATATATTTAAGCTCCTATTTCTGGTTTAACTTTCGATTTCTTTAGTTTATATAATTACTTTTTTCTTCATTTTCTTTATTTTTAAAGCAATGTCAAAACTTTACATTTGAGCACTTTATTTCACATGTTTATGTCGATGATCAATGTCCCTTTGTTTAGGGTTTATATTGGGAATATATATCCTGTTTAGGGTTTATATAGGGAATATATATCCTGTTTAGGGTTTATATAGGGAATATATATCCTGTTGAGGGTTTATATAGGGAATATATATCCTGTTTAGGGTTTATATAGGGGATATATATCCTGTTTTAGGGTTTATATTGGGAATATATATCCGGGACGAGAGAAGGATTGGGTGGAGTTCGGCACATTTACTTATGAGGTAGGATTCATGGTCCAGATAGACAGGTAGATATATATAGATAGATAGACAGACAGACACACAGACAGTTAGACAGACAGACAGACAGAGAGATACAATGAGAACCAGACAACTGGAATAGGAAGACGACATTGAAGTAAGAAACAATCTCAAGAACTGACGAGGATCAACCCATTTTCAATAAATGTGGAACTAACATCTACTCTTTATACTCTACAGCACTATTTCAAGTCATAACTTTAGTCTCAAATCTTCTTCCTATTCCAGAGTTGGGTTCTCACTCCAGACCGACAAATAGATAGACAGATATCTAAACAGATAGATAAATTCAAGTGACCCTCCATCTAAAATAAATAACGCCTGATTTACAACTGTACCCTTAAAACCTTAATCTGATCAAAAATGTGAGAGATATTGTCATTTTTCTAACTCAAATAGTGTTTAATTCTTGAAATTTATTCATTGCTTTAAGAAAGAAATGTGCAGTTCATTCTAGCAGAGGAACCGCAAATGAAAACAATTGTTTAAAGAAACAAAAACATACTTAATCAGACCAAGCTAAGGTTGTACCCCTCCATGGAATGGAGGCCGGGCTGGATCAGTACTATTCTCACCTGTAGGGTCAGATACTACTGTTGGCGGTCCGGGTTGCTCAACATGGGGCTTCATGCAGATCTCATTCTCAATCATTCATTTAAGGATATTAAGGGTATTGTTGCCATCTTCGGATAAAGGGTCACATGAAATTAAGCTTACACTCCCTTTAATTAGTTCTAAAATTAGGATGAAAGATCCATACAGCAGTTTACCAATGAAGAAGGAGTGCTGGGAAAATATGCTAAGGTAAACTATGATTTTAATAATATCTTTTCTGTTTATGTTTTAGTTAATGCTTGTACTATTGTACTGTCGGTGTATACAGTACAGAAGAATCTTGGAATTTGTACAGCATAGGAGATTACATTTGTTAATTGTTTACTTAAAAATAAGTTTGACATACATGTAGTATATTATTTATATATTTAAGTCAACGCTAAAAGCCAAATGCAAAGAATATAATTTGATTAAAGTTAACAATAAACTACTCGTTATTCAATTATAATTGACGACATTGTTCTGCACTGATCTAATGATCTAATGATCTAATGATCTAATGATCTATTCATGATTTGTTCTTTTCTTTATCTGATCTATTTAATATCTGATCTATTCTTTATCTAATCTATTCATTATCTTATCTATTCTTTATCTAATCCATTCGTTATCTAATCTATTGGTTATCTGATCTATTTATTATCTGATTTATTCGTTATCTGATATATTTGTTATCTGATCTATTTATTATCTGATCTATTTGTTATCTGATATATTTGTTATCTCATCAATTTGTTATCTCATCAATTTTTTATGTCATCTATTTGTTCTTTCATCTGTTTGTTATCTAATCTATTCGTTATCTGATCTGATTTATTCGATTTTTGATCTATTCATAATATGATTCATTCGTTATCTAATACAATCATCTCCGATTTAATAGTTATCTGATCCACTGGTTATCTATTTTTATTCATTTGCTGATCTTGTTGCTATTCAAAATACAGGGGTTAGTATTCTATATTCTAGTGTATCTCTAATGTTCTCTATGATCTCTAGTTTATCTCTAATGTTCTCTATGTATTCTAGTTTATCTCTAGAGTTCTCTATGTATTCTAGTTGATCTCTAGTGTTCTCTATGTATTCTGGTTTATCTCTAATGTTTTATGTATTCTAGTTTATCTCTAGTGTTCTCTATGTATTCTAGTTTATCTCTAATGTTCTCTATGTTTTCTAGTTTATCTCAAATGTTCTCTATGTATTCTAGTTGATCTCGAATCTTCTCTATGTATTCTAGTTTATCTCTAATGTTCTCTATGTATTCTGGTTTATCTATAATGTTCTCTATGTATTCTAGTTTATCTCTAGTGTTCTCTATGTATTCTAGTGTATCTCTAATGTTCTCTATGTATTCTAGTGTATCTTTAATGTTCTCTATGATCTCTAGTTGATCTCGAGTGTTCTCTATGTATTCTAGTGTTTCTCTAATGTTCTCTATGATCTCTAGTTGATCTCTAATGTTCTCTATGTATTCTAGTGTATCTCTAATGTTCTCTATGATCTATGCTATCTCTAGGTTGAGGTCCTATCCCACCATGGAACTGAGCACTACTGTCCTATATCCTTGTTTAGAGTTTATGGTATCTCGGAGATAGATCTTATTTCAGGTTAGTTTATCATGATCATGTAAGATCAAAAATTCATAATATCCCTATGATGATATTATGATCTTTTGATCTTACAATTGTTTTAGTATTTTAGATAATAGTGCTTGTATTTAAGATAATAAAAATGCTTGTATTTATGACAGTAAAAATAATATTTAAGATAATAGTGATAATATTTAATGTTAATAATGATAAAATTTTAGATAATAATGATAATATTTAAGATAGTAAATATAATATTTAAGATAATAAGGATAATATTTAAGATGAAAATGATAATATTTAAGATAGTAAATATAATATTTAAGATAATAATGATAATATTTAAGATAATAATGAAATATTTAAGACAATAATGATTGAATTTAAGATAATACTGATACTATTCGATGTTAAAATGATTGTTTTTAAGATAATAATAATAATATCTGAGATGATAATTATGAGTATATTTAAGATAATAATAATAATATTAATGATAATATTTATGATAATAATGATAATGTTATGATGATGATGATAATATTTAAGATGATAATGATGATGACCCTGATGATGACGACCACCAAGAACATGGAACCCCTGAAGAAAAGGTAGAAAGATAAATTGTATGATTTTGATTTTTTATTTCTCTTTGATACATTTTTCTAGGGCCCTGAAAAGCCCTCTTTGTTAATCTTTAATATTCTAGGCCCTGAAAACACCATAGTTAAATCTTCAATATTTTAGGGCCCTAAAAACCCCCTAGTTAAATCTTTAATATTCTAGGGCCCTGAGAACCCCCTAGTTAAACCTGAAACCTCCCTGGTTAAATCTCTAATATTCTAGGGCCCTAAAAACCCCTAGTTAAATCTTTAATATTCTGAGGCCCTGAAAACCCCCTTATTAAATCTTTAATATACTAGGGCTCTGAAACCCCCCTAGTTAAATCTTTAATATTCTAGGGCCCTGAAACCTCTCTGGTTAAATCTCTAATATTCTAGGGCCCTGAAAACCCCCTTTGTTAAATCTTTAATATTCTGGGGCCCTGAAAGCCACCTTGCTAAATCTTCGATATTCTAGGGCCCTGAAAACCCCCTTGTTAAATCTTTAATATTCTAGGGCCCTGAAACCCCCCTTGTTAAATCTTTGATATTCTAGGGCCCTAAAAACCCCCTTGTTAAATCTTTAATATCCTAGGGCCCTGAAACCCCCCTTGTTAAATCTTTAATATTCTAGGGCCCTGAAACCCCCCTTGTTAAATCTTTAATATTCTAGGGCCCTGAAAACCCCCTAGTTAAATCTGTGAAGACCATAAGTGATGCTGTGGTGACTGCTGTTAAAAATATTGTCTTCAAGAATCCGCAAAATACTGGGTAATTATTTGACATTTCTTTTCTTTCTACAGATTCTTAGTTTCTCACATTTAACGATATTTGTATTATTTTATGAATTTCTGTTTATCGAATTAACTTGTTAATTGCTACAGTTTTAGATAAAGCTAAATTGTACAAACCTATTTTCTGTTATATTTCATGTTTTATATCTTACTGTCTTGGGAACCCAGCTTTGCCTGGAAGCTAAGTTTTATATATAAATGTCGACCTTCTTTACGTTAAACTTTAAACCATTCCCGTGGTTCTACCGAGTGTCTTAATTTGAGGGAAATCTTTCAATGTGTTCATGAGTTATGATCAGATAACAAAAAAAACAGAGATTACTTCTAAATATAAAAAAATATCTTTACCTAATTTTCCAGATCTTCAAATTCCTCTCTGCATGGGTCAAGTATGCGACACGTGTTAAAAACCGGTTCTGCACAGCTCAGTCTGCCGCGTATAAGCACCCTCTCCTTTCTTCTAGCTACACAGTACGATATCATCAGGTAAACCTGCTAGTAGTTATCTAGTAGTTAGTCTACACTGTACTTTAGTTTACTGTAAACAGTACGATATCATCAGGTAAACCTGCTAGTAGTTAGTCTACCCTGTACTGTAGTTTACTGTACACAGTACAATATCATAAGGTAAACCTGCTAGTAGTTAGTCTACACTGTACTTTAGTTTAATGTAAACAGTACGATATCATCAGGTAAACCTACTAGTAGTTAGTCTACCCTGTACTGTAGTTTACTGTACACAGTACAATATCATAAGGTAAACCTGCTAGTAGTTAATCTACACTGTACTGTAGTTTACTGTACACAGTACAATATCATCAGATAAACCTGCTAGTAGTTAGTCTAAACTGTACTGTAGTTTACTGTACACAGTACAATATCATCAGATAAACCTGCTAGTAGTTGGTCTAACACTGTACTGTAGTAAGGTAAACCTGCTAGTTGTTAGTAAACACTGTACTGTAGTTGACTATACACAGTACTGGAATACATCAGGTTAATAATGTTTACTTTTTTTCTCATTTTATAATCTATTTTTTTATCTTTGTTATGATCATTGATACAGTGTAGAATTTGTTTATTTTTGTCTTTGTTTTAAGAATTTCCGTAGGATTCATTAGTTAGTTAAAGATGTAGTGAATGCCCTACTCCAATAAATCCTTATAGACCCGTATCAATCCAGGTACTACTCAATCCCTCTTGTTGGAAAACGAGGCAAAAGAAGTTAAGAACTAATCATTTTATTATCAAGGTCAATCCGGACACGACTTTATCTATGTCAATACTCAGTCCCTCTCACTATGAACAGCGTGGTATAAGAACTATTTCGTTCAACAATTCTTTACTATCAATGTCAATCCGGACACGACTTCATCTGTATCAATACTGAATCCCTCTCGCTTGATCAGCAAGCCATAAGAACTATTTAGTTCAACAATACTTTACTATCAAGGTCAATCCAGACACGACTTTATCTGTATCAATTTCCAATCCCTCTTCCTATGATTGGCGAGGCATGAGAACTATTCAATTCAACAATAATTCACTATCAATGTCAATCCAGACACAACTTTATCTGTATCAATACTCAATCTATATCTTTCTTTCAAGAAAATGATTCAGGAGGCTTCTCGTTCGTAAACCCAGAAGCAATTACTCTCACACTGTAATCAAAGTGGAGTCTAATTCCAACTGAATGTATTTTGGGTTCTATGTTACAAGTTAAGTTTATGAACGTAATTACAAGTTTTGCGTCGTTATATACAAATGTAATTAAGCTAATCATGTTACGTAGTTATTTACAGCCAAGTCAAGATAAATCATGATATAGGTTTTATGAAGCTAATTACAAACGTAATTACAAGTTTTACGTCGTTATATACCAATGTAATTAAGCTAATCATGTTACGTAGTTATTTACAGCCGAAGTCAAGATAATTCATGATATAGGTTTACGTAGCTATTTACAAACGTATATAATCAATAATGTAAAACCTAGTTCAGGCTTACAGATATAGTTTTACACTATATTCATTAATAAGATAGTTAAAGATCATGGTTGTTGACTGATTGATTGGTTGACTTGATTGATTTTTTATTGAATGATTGATTGATTAGTTGCTTGGTTGATTGATTGATTGGTCGACATGATTGATTGATTAACTTGATTGATTGGTTAGTCCTGGCGCTGGTTACAGTTCCTACAACTGGTTCACGGAGATGATTTTATCCTCGCCCTGTGTAATGTTCTCAGTATTGAACTAGGACACTCAGGTAGCACCTTCACATTTTTTTAAACTGACTTTTCCAGGTTTATAAGTGGTTTTCAATAGCTACAAATACAGGACTGCAGGGAATGTAGACAGATCCGGAACATAATTCGTTTTCATAGGTTTAGTCCAGTTTTCAAAGTGAAGATTTTTTGTATTTTATTTTAGTACATAAATACTCCAACTGAAAAAAGAAAAACACTTCCTAATTTTTTTTTTGTTTTTGGTAGAGTTAGCCCCGTCCCTGATAGCCGCAAATGAAACTGTTGCTGCGCCGGTTAATACGAGTACAGTGGTTAACATTAACTCTACTACACCATACACGCCAGATGATATAGAGCAGGTGCCAGGGGTGGGGGAGAGAGCAGGGGCTCTAAGACATAATTAAGCTATAATTTTACGGTATACATGGGAGGGCATATAATTTCGGATTTAGAAACTAAAAAAAGATGTGTCTCTTAATTAAAAATATGACCATAAAATTTGACCATATTTAATGAATCGTGTGAAGTAGTTAAACTACACAGACCTAGTTGAACTACTTCTTTTGTGCATTCAGTTCAAGTTATAACGCATTAGTACAACATGATTTAACTCATCAAATTTTGTCCCGGATAGAAAAAAATGTGTACAGTGTAACTGTACACCATCCTTATTAAATAATTTTGAACAGATCTGTTATTTTTGGTCGACGACAAGAACGACAATGGGTGTATCTTTTCTTTAAAAATCTTTAACCCTCTCTTTTGAACTTTTTTTTTAACAATTTTAGTATTTGTTTACGTTCAGCGGAAATTTGTTTTCAGGTTTTTGTACACTAAATTTTTGAAATGAAAAATTCTTTGGTAAAATAGAAACATTTTTGGTTTTAAAAAAATGCATCTTTTTTTCTTTTTGTTCAGATTTCTGCGAGTGCTAAGCAGCCAAATATAGAAACAATTATCTCACAACCTGTCAAAAATATAACAATCAGGTCAATTTATTTTTCCAACGTTTATTATTTACATTAAATGGACTGCAAGCGTAATAACCCTCCATGCAAAGATGACAAAGCCCGATTCACAAGCGTACCCTGAAAAGCTGAAATTTTTTTAATTATACATATATCTATTTCAACAATTGTAGTTTCTCTACAAAAATAACATGTGTATATCTTTTGCAGAAAAAAAACATTTTACATTTAAGACTTTTATACTAAGAAAAACAAGAATATTTTCCACAAAATTGACCAAATAAAGGTTTCAAGGGTACCGTTGTGAATCGGCTCACTTACAGGACTATAAATCCCTTTAAAAATTTCAATAAAATGAGAACAGTTTTTATATGAAAAAAGGTTTTTTTTTATTTTATTTTATTTTTTCTTGAATAATGTAGAAATAGTAATAGAACACCTTGACTCTTGAGCTACCACAGACAATAATGAATATCTAGAAAACACTTTTAACTTTGATTTTAGCTTCAACGAGGGAGGTGGTGCAGAGCTGCCATGAGCCCTTTGAAATAACCTCCCAAGACTCCTGATACGCAGAATGACCTCCAAGTCCTGCAAAACCATGTCCATGCCTCTGGCTACGTCACCAAGCCTTTGCCATTCTGTCTACACGCCCGCATTTTGATCTCGGCTTGATGTATTGATTTTTTATTTCCTTTTATGGCTTAGCCAACCAAATATCAAAATATATCACCCTTCAGTCGAATCCACAAAGTTTAAAAAATCATTTAAGCAGTTTTAAATATTAATTCATTCAATCGATAGTAACTTGTTTTCTTCTGAAAAGTTTTCACAAAGCATACAACGAAAGCACAAATAAAAGTATTTCAAAAAAATATTTTGTTTTGTGAATGAGTGCTCATTTAGTTTGATTCGGACACGTTAAATTATTTAAAATTTCTCTATCTTTATTCAATACTGCAATAGTTAAACTGTCACAAGATAAGGAATTGGTGAAAATTATAAAACAAAAATAGAAATCTTAACATCAATTAGAATAGTTTTTAAATACACATTGTTTATGTATCATTAAAAACTATTATATCATTTTAAGATTGTTTAAATAAAATATTGGAGACCAAAATGCGGAGCGTGGAGACAGAATGGTTGAGGCTTGGTGATATAGCAATATGCGCAGAGACTGTTTTGCGGGGCTCATGGCAGTTCTGCACCCCTTCATTCTTCTAACTATTATGTAGAAAGTAGAATGGAGATATTTTGACAAAAACTGTGTTTCTAGTTTTTATAGTTTTCTTATAATTTGATAGATGATTGATTTATATTTATAAATTAACCCAGACCGGATGTTGAGAAAAATGGCGAGTTCTTGGATACCGGAAATGGGGACCTAAAGACAACCGGAAACCAGGGACGTGAGACCACGTGGCAAAAACTTTCCAACAGGTTTTTGTTTTTTATCAATTGATTTGGATTTATTACTTTAAGAGCTGCCTAGTGCCTACTGTCTACAGTAAGTAATTATTTATGAAAAATATCAAAAACATACAAAATTAAGTGTTTAAGGGAAAAATATTTGAAAACCTCCAAAAATAGAGTTTATGGCAATATTTCCACATATTCTAAAAAATAGAAATAATATAAATAAAAGGAAAAGGAAAAGAAAAGTTACATATTTATTGTTTACATTATATTTAATATAAACTAGTGGTGGATTGTTAGTATTTTTCGACGATGAACTAACAAGTTTTAGAAGAAAAGAATCATAGATTTATTTTTAATGCTTAAAAAAATCGACATTATGGGGAGTGAAAAAAATATAGTTTTACGCAAAATGGGCATTTTTAAGCATCTTTTCAAATAGCGCCGATTTTTGACATCCATGTTTTTTTATATCTTTTACTCTTTTTAATCTTTTTAGTCTTTTCTTTGTAAAATCGTAAATGCATGTCCGATTACCTTTTAAACTTTGTTTAACAAAAACAAAAATTGAATTATAGTAAAACTATTAAATGACTTGCGGAGACAAAAAAAATTTAATTAAATTTAAATGAATTGAACACGTTTTGAGAATGATTTCTTCCTCATTGCTGCTCAAATAAGAATATTCTGGTGTTAAGGATACGGTCCCTTGAGAGAAATGTATCCTTGAGTACAGGGTTCTTGGAGGAACTCTCTTTGAAGTATATAAAGCAGATAGATGAACTTAATACAGCAGTTAAGGTACTATTCTATACTAGAAGAACTCTTCTTGAAGTATATCAAGCAGATAGATGAACTCAATAAAGCAGTTAAGGTACTATTCTATACTTGAGGAACTCTTCTTGATCTCTATCAAGCAGATAGATGAACTCAATACAGCAGTTAAGGTACTATTCTATACTAGAGGAAATCTTCTTGAAGTATATCAAGCAGATAGATGAACTCAATACAGCAGTTAAGGTACTATTCTATACTAGAGGAACTCTTCTTGAAGTATATCAAGATAGATGAACTCAATACAGCAGTTAAGGTACTATTCTATACTAGTTAAGTTATTAACTATCATAAAAAACCATGATAATCATTTTCAAAATAGTATTTATTACACTTCAAAAAAGCCTAAACATTAAATGCGTGATAATAGACTGTAAATAGTCATAATTCGCCGAAAATGGACCAAAAAACAACCAGTAATGTGGCTGGTCCATTTAGGAGAACTTTTTAAGTATGCCAAAAATTCATACTTGAACTATTTTTACCCTTATGTTTGCTAAAAGCTGGTCAACATTTTTTCTAGTGATAAAATCAGCGCAGTTTTTCTTCATTTAAATAAAATCAATGATCTTAGGTTATGAGTGACTCCATCTCAATATTAACGAAAAAGGAGGAAGCATGTAAAGTAAAATACAGCAGTCTTGAGAAGCAGGTTAGATATTTGATTGATTGATAAATTATTTGATTAAATGCTTGATTTTCCGGTTTATTGATTTATTGATTTGTTGAATGAATGGTTTGATGAATAATTACTGATTGGTTGATGGATAATTCAATGATTGATTAATTGATTCATTATTGATTCATTGATTCATTGATTCATTGATTCATTGATTAATTGATTCATTGATTCATTGATACTTTGATTCTTTGATTCATTGATTCATTGATTGATTGATTCATTGATTCATTGATTTATTGATTCATTGATTCATTGATTCATTGATTCATTGATTCATTGATTCCTGAATTCCTGGATTCCTAGATTCATTGATTCGTGGATTCCAGGATTCATTGATTCCTGGATTTCTGGATTCATTGATTCAATAACAGATTTATATTCAGGTGGAAGGATTGACTGCTGGGTTAAATATTCTAGAAGGGAAGATTACAGAAACCCAGGAGGAGGTAAATATACCAACACTCTTCTTTCCATCTTCTCCTCACTCCCATCCCTTCTTCTCTCCTCTCCCTTCCTTTCACCCCTTACACCTTCCCTACCAACAGCCACCTTTCCATCTCTTTCTTCCTTCCATCCTCTCTCTCATCTCCATCCCATTCTACCCCTTCTTTTCCTTAACCCACTGCACTCCTTCCGTTTTCTCCTGCAGACTAGGCTCTCTTTCTTCTGACACCACAACTCTTCCCATTCTACCCATTCTTTTCCTTAACCCACTGCACTCCTTTCTTTTTCTCCTGCAGACTAGCCTCTCTTTCTTCTGACACCACCACTCTTCCCATTCTACCCATTCTTTTCCTTAACCCACTGCACTCCTTTCTTTTTCTCCTGCAGACTAGCCTTTCTTTCTTCTGACACCCCAAATCTTCCCTACCTACCCCTTCTTTTCCTTAACCCACTGCACTCCTTACGTTTTCTCCTGCAGACTAGCCTCTCTTTCTTCTAACACCCCAAATCTTCTCTACCTACTCCTTCTTTTCGTTAACCCACTGCACTCCTTTTTTTCTCATCCATACGAGCTCTGGCTTCTCCTGATCCCCCATCCGCCCCACCCCTCTTTATCAATTTACCCTCTCATTTCACTCAAGTGACTTAGTGCATTTCTACTGAAGAAAAATAATGAAGGAATTATCACAATTACCAATATTTCTTTTGAATATTGCACAATGTACATTACAGTTGATGTCCTGGCACGGTCTGTTTGTACTGTAATGTAGTCTTGATATGTTACATCTATGTACAGTTGATGTACTGGCACAGTTTGCTTTTACTGTAGTGTAGTAGTGAAATATTGTATCTATGTACGATTGATGTCCCAGTACTGTCTGTACTAGTGAAAAATTCTTTCTTTATACAGTTGATGTCCCGGTACAGTCTGTTGGTATTGTAGAGTAGTAGTGATATGTTGTTTGTTTATACAGTTGATGTCCCTGTACAGTCTGCTGTTACTTTAATGTAGTAGTGAAATGTTGTTTGTTTGTACAGTTGATGTCCCTGTACAGTCTGCTAGTACTTTAATGTAGTAGTGAAATGTTGTTTGTTTGTACAGTTGATGTCCC